TACCATAGGGATGTCAGTAGTTATTTTAGCTTTGGTTACCATAGGGATGTCAGTAGTTATTATAGCTTTGGTTACCATAGGGATGTCAGTAGTTACTATAGTGATGTCAYTGGACAAGTGATGCAAGCTTTGGTTACCATAGGGATGTCAGTAGTTATAGTGATGTCACTGGACAAGTGATGCAAGCTTTGGTTACCATAGGGATGTCAGTAGTTATAGCGATGTCACTGGATAAGTGATGCAAGCTTTGGTCACGATAGGGATGTTGGTAGTTACTATAGCGATGTCATTGGACAATTAGTGATGCAAGCTTTGGTTACCATAGGGATGTTGGTAGTTACTATAGTGATGTCATTGGACAAGTGATGCAAGCTTTGGTTACCATAGGGATGTCAGTAGTTATTATAGCGATGTCATTCAACAAGTGTTGCAAACTTTGGTTACCATAGGGATGTCAGTAGTTACTATAGTGATGTCATTGAATAAGTGATGCAAGCTTTGGTTACCATAGGAATGTCAGTGGTTACTATAGTGACCTTTGGTCACTATAGGGATGTTGGTGGTCACTATAGTGATGTCAATGGACACTAGGGGAGCCATGGTAACTATGGTGAGATAAGTGGTTACTATAGRAATGTCAATGTATACCAAATTGATTGAAGTATTTGTCACCATAGTGATTGTCAGTGGTTGCTATAGTGATTGTTTTGGCTAGCACCCATGTAAGTATAATGCAAGTGTATAAGTAACTTGCATAAAACATAATTAGTAAAACCTTTTATTTTACTATTGAAATACTAATATACATCCTGATTTTATAATAAATCTCATGTTTTTCAGTTTATGGATTTTCTATATTATTTTCTAAAGTGTAAAACTGGAATTATGTTTTGAATGAGTGTCAGGGTCAGTACCCCATTAACTACATTAATGTGCCTCATTAATTACATTAATAAGAATAAATAAATTATTATTGCATCTGTGATGCTTGTCCAGAAGATTGAGCAGCTTGTACCATGGATACTAACTCAGTGTAGTTGGAGCATGAGGCTTCATTTACGTCTAATCCTTTCATCTAAAAAATAAGACAAACAGACCTTTCAATACTTTGAATATACATGCGCCAAGAAAATATTCGATAAACTGAACATCATACTATCACTACCAGCATCCCTTGCACACTTTCTTTATTCAGTTAATTAGACACTATATTCATGTGTCTTCTCATACGCAACTATTAAACAAAGAAATGATACTCTAGGGAATGAAATGTGGTCCGAAATGGGAAAACGTTTCTTCCAAGCTAAATTGATCAAAAATGTCTTACTTTTCTCAAGGCAATTTAAGCTAATTTGTATGAGAAAAAACTTGTAAAGCTTGCTGGTAATGGGAGTAAAATATACCGCAAAGCAACTTTATCATGTACCTACCAGAATTCTAAATTCTTCTACATCTAGAGAAAACTGTAGTCTAATCTTGTCGTCATCACTCATTGGCCCCTGGCCGTCTTGAGTGTTGGATGAGTTATTGGTTCCCCCTCCTGCTTGTTTTCTTGTTCTCTTCAGTCGCAGTAAACTGTCTTCTGTTTTCTTGATGGATGTTAGAACATCAGATGTTATGGTAAAGTACCTATGAAAAAGCAGGCAACCATCGATTCTTTAGTATTAATACAGGAAAGAATGTTAGTAAGGAGAAAATCAACAAAGAAATGTTGGTATCACAGGATTCATGGATGTTGTAGTGATTGTATGAAGTGAAAACCTCGGCATAGATAGCAAAGCAGTCAATGTTCATGATCAACGTTGTGGCACAGCTAACTCACTGGTCTTGTGGAGGGAGAAAAACTGAAGAAAAATACTCAAATCAAAGGAGAGACCTCTACTCACATGTCATGGCAAGTCCAGGAATCAAACCTGGGAACCCAGAGGTGAATCAAGGGAGACACATTAAAAAATATACTTTCATGTCATGCTGAGTCCAGGTATCAAACCCAAGACCCCAGTGGTTATAGGCGAGTGCAATGCTAATACACCACCCTAYGTCAACCAGAGTGCACATATACCATGCTTTCCTCAATAGTATGCTACAATACCTTTCAAATACAATCTGCAACACCTTTGATGCCCATGTCTGCAGCTGCTCCTTCCCAACCATGTGTTTGAACTCCTCCTGAAAGTCATTCAGAGGCTTGATGACGATGCCCACAAAGGGAGAGGGTTGGCTGGGAACCTCTTTGTTTGTTCTTCGATAGAGTCGAGGGATATTCCTTGCAGCATCGAGACCAACTAAGGACTTGGCAACCACCTGTTGAATGATCTTCTCTTCTATTTTAGGAAGCAAGTTGATGAGGTTGGTCTTTGACTCCTCAAGAGCATCTAAGAAAGAAAAACTGGAGTTTTAAATTTCTTTCATCAAAACCATTGCCTAAAATAGATATACAGTGAACTGTCGTTACAGTGGACTCCCTTGGGGCCATCATTCGTGTCTGTAATAGTGAACATCTGCAATAGTGAAAATTATTTATGGTCACTTTGTATTTTTGTCTGGGATTTTTCTCCTCTCTGTAATAGCACAGTGTACGTAATATTGGGGTGTCCGCAAGGCGAGAGTTGATTGTATTTTAATAATTCTTCAAAGGGATTCCCAGGGAATAGTGGAACCATACAGCTAACATTACCTGTTAATGATGAGAAATCTTGAAGTCCAGCAGATACGAGTTTGGGTTGTATGGATCGCTTGAACAACTCAGATATCTAGTTTTATCCAAATGCCAAAGGTAAAAAAAGGAAAGGTCATGTAACACACACACAAGAAAAATACACAAGCCTTTCATTTTACCTTTTGTGACAAGGAGTGTGTGTCAATAAGTAGGTATACAAAGTAAGACGTTGGTTGTTCACTGGAATCATTCTCAGCCTGAAGAAAGAATTAAAGAGAGTGATCATACTATAAAGGTTATAAGAGCTTGTGTTGCTTTCAGTTATTGTTATATTATTGTAGTTGTATGAACTGCTGCTGCTGTGACTGTTATCACTTTTGCTGCTGCTGTCGGTGTTGTTTTTGCTACTGCTGCAATTGTTGTTGAAGCTGTTTATGTTGTAGTTGCTGCTGTTGTAGTTGTAGTTGCTTCTGCTGGAGATGCTGCTGTTGTTACAGATGCTGCTATTGTTGTTGTTAATCGTTGCTGCTGCTATTGTTGCTGCTGTTGCTATTGAGGCTGTTGTTACTGCTGCTGTCATAGATGTTGTTATGATATATACAATATATCCTATCAAAAATGACTTGTATCAAAATGCTACTTACTTGCTCTTTAAAAATGCCTTCATTCTCAAGCCACTGTGAAAATCTAGAAATAATCTTTAGAATGAAAAACAAAACTATTAAAAACATTAAAGCATTCAGGCAAACAAAAACATAACTCCTCGCACCTGTAAYGTTAGCTTCCAGAATCGATGACACAGTGCCTTAATGTAGACAGAATCAGACCAACATGTCTCGAGTCCCCACCATAAAATATTACAAACAGCAGTGTTGAAGTCACCTTCAACTAGAAGCATAATCCAAATTAACATTACCATCTACAATCAGTAAACTGTGGTACCCAGTGGTTTTTCTCTTGGTTCATTCGCTTTCAAAATCTTGAGTGATGGTACACGAGAAAGCTGAACTTTGAACGTTGAAAGTTTTCAAAGGTAACCATCACGACAGACTGTGAGAATGACTAAAATTGTTTTGGCTGAAACATTGGAGYAGTGAAATGAATTCGGGCAATCAGAAGCGATCATTTTCATAATGATTTTCATAGTATGCATAAAATGGATCATGACATATGGGCTGGGCAGATGGATGATTTGTAGAGTGTCCCCCATGAGAAATCCTGGTTGCACCCCTGTATCGTACTGGGTTTTTTCTTAGTGCAAGAAGAAGCATTTTGCTTTCATACCTGTTAATGGAGGATCAGTTGGGTTATCCAAAACCATTTCTATTTTGCCTGCAATATCTTGAAACCTACAACAGGAAAGAATACTGCTTTTAAAACCATGAAAAATAGGAATCAATGCTATGATGTTTWAAAAAATTAAAAATGGGACAAAATAAAAATACAATTAGATTYTGTCAGAAACAATACAAAATGAGATTGGGATGAAAATTTGAAGCTGTTTGAGAAGGAAGAAAAAACTGGGAATTAAACGGGATGATGTTAAAATGAGATGGATGGAAAGTGTTCTGCTCGTTTACCTAATCTGGAAGTAGACAGGCAAGCTCCAGTGAGCCATGAATGAATTAAAGCTGCTGTGGTTACGAAGCCTTGTGACACTTGCTTTAGACGCACAAAGACCTTCAAATTTTTCCACAAACCACATGGATGTTGTGTACCTCTGTAGAAGTTAAGGCAAAGTTCATAATTTTAATTTTTTTWAAAAATACTCTCTGGAATCCCATTACAATCAACAAGGGTTAGCTTCATTCAAACTCTGTTCCCTTCATAAATTGTGCTAAATTTGCACTTTTTTTTGTAAAGTGAAGAATTTTATGCRGAGTGCATAAAGGACTGCATTGGAACCTAATGGGATAAACAAACAAACTTGTGAATTGCCTTGAGGAGCTGCAGAAGGTCCTAAAAGAAGAAAAGATAGAAACTGTGGAATGCCACGAGGACTGCATTGGAACCTAATGCAATTAATCTTACAAACTTGTGAAAACTTGAGGACTTGCAGCAAAGGATAAAGTTAAACCATACAAACTATGGAATGCCACAAGGATTAGCACTGGGACCTAAAACAATTTACAAACCTTGTGAAATGCATCGGGATTTCCTGGGGCAAAAATAGATGAGAGTCTTGTCTCAATAAGTTTTACCACTTCAGGCCAGACGGCATTCACGATGAAATCAAATCCACGTATAGCAGTTCTTTGTTCTCCAAAACTGGAATCTTCTGATGCCAATCTACCTGATGTAATTTGAATCATGTTTGTGCAAGATCTGGGAATAAATTCCAGAATCTTGGAATACAAGTCTTTAAGGCCATTAACTGGGTCTGTCAGCAAAGTTTTTTCAGATATTACCTACAGTAAAGAATAGTAATACAAAAGTACTCAAATTACAATGAAAAAGAAAGAACGATGCACATGTATGTGATTGTGCACACTTGCGCTTGATGAAAATCAATTTTATCAAACCCTAAAATGACCTCTAGGGGGTGAATTGAAATTCAGTATGTTGTGATTTGCGGCARCTGTACTTTAAGCAACCATCTGTGCGCATTGCCTCTTTCTTTTAGTTGATTAAAGGGATTTCTCTAGGTTTTCCAATTTTCCTCACTCAACAAAACCTTATGAGCTAAATCCCAATTCAATCGATGAGTGAGTAAGCTGTGCCCTGACTTTGTTCAGCCCAGAGGTTGTGTCAGGGTTTGATCTGTGAGTTAGCCATGCCCTGACTTAGATCAGCCTATTGGTTGTTTCAGTGTTTGACCTGTGAGTTAGCCATGACCTGACTTTGATCAGCCTAGAGGTTGTTTCAGGGTTCGATCTGTGGGTTAGTTGTGCCCTGACTGATCAGCCCAGACTTTTAAAAATTGTTTATCAATAAAATGTCAAGGATTTTATTAAGAACTTTTGTTCATGCATGCTAACTATTGACTATTAAATAGTCAATAGAAATTTTCTTTTTTCCTTACCCTATCCATATATGGCTTAACAATCTTCTCTCTAAATAATAGCTCAACATCCTTTATTTTATCAATGATGGCATATGTTCGCAGGACTCTTGCAAGAAGGTTCAAGTTGCCTGACTGGACTGCATCTTGGAATGCAGCTTCAAGTTTCTTCTGTAGTGTTAATGTTATGGCTGAAATACGCTATTGCAATGCATAATAAAATAATGGATATTATTATGTTATACACATATTTGTATTTTGATGTCTAACTGAATCTTTAATGAATTTAAAAGCAACTATGAAAAATGCTGAGCTGAACAGAACATTTATAAAAGGTCACCATGAACAGCTGCAACTGATAAACTTATAGCCCTATATGTTTATAATCCCTCAATAATACAGCATCATCATTTTATGTGGTCRTCTGTTCCATGGCAAACCTTCCACTCAGATACAGCAGAACCCAAAACCTCATGCACTAAGCCAACTGGATGGCAGTTAATTAAAGATCAAATTAAAGAGAAGCATTCTTTAGTTAGGACTTACATATTTTATGCTCTCAACCAGTGGATGGCCTTGACTTTCAGTGACATAATACTGTAACTGATTGAATTCACTAGCAACTCTCTCTATCAAATGGGATTCATCCTCACTAGACAAAAACAAAGTACAGAAATAATAAGTATCATATCCATAGCAGCCAGGGCTCAGAATGACAGCTGGTTAGAAGACAATGTCCAGCCAAAATTAGCACTATTGTCTGGCCAAACACCTCATAGGCCAGTCCTCTTGACCAGTCCAATGTGACTGGTCATCAAGTCTAACCACAACAACAACAACAAGTATCTTTATTTCCAATAATAATAACATATATATGTATACATCTAATTGAAAAAATGTTGTCGGGTTCAAAAAAAGGTTATATCATCAAAGCTAAGACCGAAGGGGAGCATGGGAAGACAAACAATTATGCTAATTTCATGCTCCACTGTGCATTTGTACATGTCTATATGCAAATATAATACACATTTCCGAGTACCCAAAGTCCTTTTTGGTCTTAGCTTTGATGATATGACCTTCTCAAACCCAACTACATTTTTTCAATTAGGTGTATATAATATATCAAATTATGCTTTACAACATTAATGTTTATAGCCAAGATTCAGCTGAGCAGCTGTTATCTGTTTTTTACACATTTTATAAGGTCACATTAACTACAGCCAATCTCAGTTTCTGAGTTGGACTGTAGATAAGTTCAAGGATTTTGTTATTGTAATTAATTAACATGGTAACTGAAATGGAAATAGAAAAGTAGGGAAAAATATAAATAAATTTATAAATTAGTCTGGGATTGAGCAGTGYTTATTTTTAGGCTAGTGTCCCCATCTGTTTGTAGGCCAAGTTGAAATGGGTTGAAGCYGGGAGGCTAGGAGGTAGAAGAGTAAAGCAGAAGCTTCATCACCTTTCTTCTCCAATATGAGAGTCATTATCAGTAATAGAGCCATGAAGAAGTCTTTCTATCTTTTCCAAAGATTTGGTGATATTAAGTAAGTGTTGCATACAGATCTGTGGAATCAGTACAATGATAATGTGAGACAGTATGAAATCTGCTCTGCTAAGCATACTCAGAGAATGTGTAGTTCCAGAAATCATTCATACCAACCCCACAGAGGAATTTCCGAAGAGTAAGGGGGTCAGAGAAAGAACAAATATTACAGAGTTTGTATGGAAGAAAATTGGAATTTCCAGAAGGCAGGGGGTGTCTTTAAAAAATTCCTCCGTGAGCGGGGTATGGATAATTCTTGGAACTACACAATATACCCCAAGAAGCCAATAACATGAAGGACCATTCTGATGCAATGAGCAGTGGATGCTGTAATACTTCAACACATCTGCAGTTCAAAACCTCTATATAGGCCAATTTCCCAATACAGATTATGTGTCATTCCTTAGAGTCTCATTTCTCTGTTTAGCAGTTGCACATGAGAAGACCCTTCAATATGGACACAACGAAAACAAATAATCTTATTCTCAAGAGAGTGACACATGGTTTGAAATGGGCAAAAAATCATGCCCAAGTGGATTTGGTCCATTAAGCGAGTAGTTAATGATTCAATAAATTGATTATTGATGGGGGAGGGGTAGTCATTTTGGGGACTAACCCACCCCTCCAATCAACCTCCTCAACACTTCATTTACAGAATTTAAATTTCATTTATATTTTACCTTTTTCTGTCTCAACAGTGCTCTTGCTTCAAGTTTTCCTTCAATTGATGCTATCGTCCCATCAAGCTCTGTTCTGATAAGCTGGATATGTAAAACAAGTTAGGACACTCAAAGATATAGATTAACAACATGTGCCAATTTTAAAACGGAGTGGYTATTCATATGTCACCCGTACTATAAGGTGACTTGTACTACGTACCTCACCGAACTGTGGCTACACGTCAAAAATTTATCTTGCTACCACACCCAAAGTTGTCTACTGACACTCCTACTTTTGTCACTGTCTCAGATCTAGCACATTGCCAGTAACGTATTCACTGAAATACATGAAAGATGGAACGCACTGCTGTAACAAAAGTAGGCGTGTCAGTAGAGGAATTAGGGTGTGGTAGCGAGACAAATTTTTGACATGTCGCCACAGTTCATTGAGATCTGCAGTATTTGCTATTCGTATRGGAGTCAAAAATTTTGACGATTTATCTCAGGAACTCTGTATTCTTTTCCAACCTATTGACGATATTTTTGTTTACACCAGTTAGGCGATTCATGTCAGTGATGTTATTTTGATTCAAACTTATTTGATGAGTCTGTACTCAGTAGCAAGCAACTCACTTTTGCGACACTTAGAATTTTCTTCGTTTAGTCTGAGGGTCAGTGTCACGGCGGGAAATGTCACGCAATAGAATTTTTGACGACTCCCGTACGAATTATTCGCATTTGTTATTCGTATTCGTATTTTAAAATCCATCCCTTACCAGTACTTCTTCCTTTAGCTGTCCAAGTGGTACTGACAAGTTATTGATGCTTTTGTCCAACCCAACCTTAAGAGTCATAAAAATACCAGTGAATCTCGAATCTATGGAATAATATGAAGTGGCTAGGCAGACCAAAATTTGTACGTGTACACGTATCAGCTGTTTGTAAATTTGTATTTCATAAGTTCATTTTTTATATAATTTGTACAGAAATAAGTACATCAAGACCAATAACCACGACTCATTGGAAATAAGCCTTCAAGCGTTTCAATATTTGGATATTCCTGCGCGTACTTACAAGGTTGGTAGATAGGTTTACGAAGTCGGCATAGTCCTGGTTGATCAACTCTATCAAAGCAGCTTTCAAAGACTTTAAATACTCCTCTAGATCGTTCTTTATGGTATCAAGCGACGCGGATCCCTTATGGCTGGTGACAAAAGAATCAACGCTGAAAGAATCCTTTATGAAATCATCTCTAGTGAAGCAAGAAGAAGGGTTTTCTGGAGGAACAACAACACTCTTGTCCGTAGTCGCCATGTTGGCCAACACAGGACCGCGATGGACTGAGCCGAGAAATCAGGCGCAAAAACAAACGTGTATTAGGAAAGAAAAATTAACTTTAATGCTAAAATTTCTGAATATTTTTTTTTTGTTATTATTTATTTCAAAATTTAAAGAAAAAGATATTAATCGTTTTCGGAAAAAAACATGTAACATATTTCTTGAAATAAATCCCTAATGAAATTTTAAACCTTGATTCTAATGAAAGTCTTTTTTTAATTTTTAAAAATTTTCTTGACGTTTATTTTCATTTTTTCAATATGGGTTTTTTCCTTATATTTTTTCATTTTCCCATTTTTATAAATCTAGTTCCAGTCCCTTGACGCTTTTCAAAACGAGGCATTCCCCCATGATTCACCACGCACCCAATCTTTCCAACATGGCGGTGAAAGTCGGCGAAAAATGTGTGTTTCCGTCGATGTGCTAGACTTTCATCTATTTGCCCATGGTTTATCCTCTGAATTACCTTTTTATTGCAAGTGCTTTTGAATTATGATATCACAGAGACTTGGATTACCGAGTTGAGCTGATACGAGGCGAGATATGTCAGACCATACGAACAATATTGATGAAGYAAGTTCAAGAAACCATGTTCATGATCATGACGTTGTGAATGAGAACAAAACAGAGTCTACTGACAGCTTTAAAACGAGTTCACATATCACACTGGACGAGAGCAACGTACCTCTGCTAGTTAAAAAGGTTGCAGACTTGAATGGTATGTCGTTACAAACGAACCGCGACAAATGCATAGCACCGAATTCTGAAAACGAGCCTGTAGAACAGGAACCGTCGTCAACTGAAAATGCAGAGGGAGTAAAGCAAACTGAGAACGTTTTAGCGGAATCTGTTGATTCCTTACAAACGTCGTCAAGTGACGAGGACATAAAGTATGTTGGATATGAGTCAGAACTTCAGATGGGCGCAATAATGGCCTTGATTACTAAGGATCTATCAGAGCCCTACTCTATTTATACATATCGGTATTTTATCCACAACTGGCCGAATCTTTGTTTTCTGGTAAGGTTGAAAATATAGTGAGCATTAATATTATACAAATACCTTGTGAATCAAAAATCTAACAAGTTTCAGCAAACCTTTGGGCTATGATAGATGGTATAGGTTTGAGCCCCTCCTTTTGCCTTATAGCAGTTGTAACCTTCTTGGTTTACCCAGGGGGAGGGGAGGGGATATTTTACAACCTTTGCACATATAGATTCTTACAGAGGGGGAAAAAACTGGAATACCCAGGTAAGACCCTGATGACGAGAATGAGAACCAATAAAGGTATGTTTTCCCATTTCAGACTATGTGTCATTCCCTTAAGGTTAAGGTTTGTTCAAGTGTTATCCATATGTATGTGTCTTCTCACACTCAACCCTTACAGCCATTCTCAATCACACGCGCCCTCTAGCGATTGTTTCTGTCACGATGAAGAAGGTTTTGGTGGACATCAATCACAAGGCGTTTTCATAACATTGTCGGAAAGCACAATGCTATAAGGGCACGTGACTATACAATGTCATGGAAATGCCTTGATTGACATCCACCAAAAGCTTCTTCATGGTGACAGAAACAATCGCTAAAGCAGCGCTTGTGATTGAGAATGGCTGTTAACAAAGAAATAATACTCTGAGGAGTAACACATGGTATCAAATGGGAAAATGTTATTTTTAAGCTAAAGAGGTCTATTACTTTGGTTTAGATCAGAGCAGCCAGTTCTCATATAGTACTTAGAACTAGACCAATGCAGCCAAACCAGTTCTAAGAACTGATGTGTACCATTTGAGAACTACCCGCTCAGACTGATTAGTTCAAGTTAATGGAAAGCATCCTAAAACCTTTATCTCTACAGGCCATGCACAAAGGCCATTGTGTTGGAGCAATAGTGTGTAAACTTGATGTGCACAAAAACATGGTTCACAGAGGTTACATAGCAATGTTAGCTGTTGAAAAGGAATTTAGAAGACATAAAATTGGTAAGTAAGGATGTCGAGCACTCAGTATTGTTGGTAATATCATTATGATTTTGCTAATGATTATCTTGATTTACAGGTACGAAGCTGGTTAAAAAGGCAATAAAAGCCATGATAGCAGATAACTGTGATGAGGTTTGTAGTCATCTATAAATTACTGCCATTTCCTTGAATTATTATTCTATGTTATGCAATTATCCCTCACCCCCACCCCCCTAAAAATAGTAGTCAACCAAAAACCTGCTCCCTTTAATGTAAAATGAACAAAAGTCATGATAAAACTATCACTGTTGCATAACATTCTTTAAAATATTCCTTCATCAGGTTGTCTTGGAAACTGAAATCACCAACAAAGCTGCCCTTCGTTTGTATGAGAAGCTTGGGTTTGTCCGTGACAAACGCTTGTTTCGCTACTATCTTAATGGAGTTGATGCCTTGAGATTGAAATTATGGTTAAGATAGAAAGCAAAGCCACAACCATCTGGTGTCAGCCATTCTTGATCACAAGGATTGCCAAGCACAGTTGTATCTTTGCATACAGCTTTTCTTGCATTCACTAAAGTACTAACTTCAAATTTATGCAGCTTTGATACCATTTCATTCAACTGCTGCAAAATGGTTGCTATGCACAATGGTTGCTATGCAAAATGGCTGTTATACGTGTGCAGAACTCTGTCATCTACAGGGGTTGATACAGAAGAAGCTTTTTAGGGTGCATTCTCCTTGCACTAGACTTTAGAAATATATTTTTCATGTCAGTTTTATGATTTCCCTTAGGTTTTTCAGTTTAGTGTTTACAAATAACTAGTGACTAAAACTTCATAGTCTCCCTGTTTACCAAAATCAACCAAAACAATTCCTCTTGAAAGCTTTTTCATTCTCCATATGACAAACAACGCAGCAGGCAAATTGTACATTGTGTCCAAATCTTAGTATCTAAGTATGACATTGCGTTTCGTTCTTGCCCTCTCTTTTTATATTTTAACTTTACTTAATATACCTAACGCAATATAATTTTGAATCACTACCATGATAGGATTAACCTGAACTTTGGCTAACCTTAATCTAGATGATTTAACCAGTCAATTGTTTTATAATATTTAATATTAGTCAGATTAACATATTAGTGTGTTTTTTTTTTGCTATAGCCCATGTAGAGACACAGACGGATAAGACTTTAATCCATGACACAACTAGCTTAGACTTGTACTCACTTCTCAACTAAACACAACCAGACTATATCACTTTCCCTCCCTATCCCTTCACAGTGTTGAGATGATCAGCTTTTGAGTGAGGGGTGTACTTTATACCAAAACAATATTGAGATAGGGGGGTGTGGGGTAAGAGTAAGTGGGGATCTATTAATTGAAAGGTTTGCAAATGTTAATAGTAGTGTGATAAATAATGAGGGGAGTCTCAGCAGTTTTGGAGCAGATTGTGGGTTGGGGGAGGCAGTAGGAAGATGAAAAGAGAATACCTTCTTCTCTTTTCTCTTCTTTTCTTTTTGCCATTCCCAACCCATTCTGCTTCTTAGTGGCTCTATAGACCCCTTGCAGCATGTATGTTGGAATGCAGTTCAATTTGGAGGACACAATAGGTTTCCATTCTCATGAGATTGAAATTCTCTGGTTTGGTTTTCCAAATAGAGCTGCTTTGACATCACATGCAAGGAGTCTATACAGACTTTACTTTGAGAAATTGTAAGTAACTGTCTTTTTTTTTCATAAATAACAATTTTATTTTAATTGTAATTTATCTCTTGGGCCATTCCAAAAGACATTGGGGTCAATGGTTATTAAAATTGAAATATTGTGAATCATGAATTTATTTTGCTAGATTTCTATGTTAAAGCAATAGGATATTTTTGGTGATGCAAAGCTTTGGCATTGCCCAGTCTCGCCCTCCCCTCCCATAGTTCCATTCTTTTCACCACTACACAAGCAAGCTCTAAATGTCCAAAATTGGTTCCAAGTCAAATTTGGACTTCATATTAACAACTAAGCTGAACTAACTTGACTTAAACCAATTATTAGCTTTGCAGTAGGATCATTCAAGCAGTTTTGAAAGTCATTATTTTAAGCTCAGGATTGTCTACTATCTTGGGGGTTTTTGCAAGATTTGGCCCAATACCCATTTATTTTATTTTCTTATAATGTCTATCAAAGGGCGTATTTGTAATCTATTCGTGAAAGGTTAATTGATGATTTTTGATTTCCTAAATATAATATCAGAGTGGTTTTACTTGGTGGGTGAAACATATTTAAGTAACCTGTATGATAAATTAGTGAGTAACTAAAAAGTCCAGGTAAAACAAAAGAAAACAATAGAATTGGAGTCTACTACCAAGTATTATGCTTATTACTATCTTTTCATTGCCAAGTAAAACCAATCGACTAAATAAAAAATGTCAAACTTGAATTGTCATATTTAAGAAAATCTGTCATAAATTGTCAAGAGACTCCTACATTCATGCAAAATAAAGGTTATCAAGCAATGTTGTATGTTTTCTTGTCTAAGATATCCTTGCAGCCAGAAAGGGTACAATTTAGGGGAAGGGGGGCAAGGGACTGAGTTTAACAATTTTCTTTCAAAATTCTGTAACCTTTTTTTATGATCAGTACGAACTCATTCCCATAGCCCTGTGAAGTATTAAAATATAATCGTGAACTTTTTCCGCAATTTTACTGATGTCACTAAATATCTTAAAAATCTTAAGGGGGTAGGGGTGGTTGGTATTGAACACCCTTACATGACATTTGAATTACTTCCGGTTTACGTAATTTCCCGCGCCTGTGGTATTTTGGCGCAAGCGCTGTAAGCCTAAGGATTTCCAAGATGGAGAACATAGATGAAGCGTTTGCTCGTCTTGATAAAGAAAAACTCTTAGAAGTGACATATCTCTCTGCTGGCTGCAGGATATTTCGTGGAGACAAGCAGAATTTCCTCTCCTTTCTAAATACGTTGAGAAAACAAGGTGATTCAGGGTTCTGTGACGTCGTTTTAGAAGTCGATGGCCAGTCGTTCCCTGCTCATCGGTGCGTCCTTGCTGCTAATAGTCAGTTCTTTTACACGATGTTTACCAGTGGAATGCGAGATTCGAAAGAAAAACATATCAAACTGTGTTCATTAAGCAGCTCTGCTCTTTCTACTATTCTTGACTTTTTTTATACACGAGAAATCGCTATCAATCGAGACAACGCTGAAGACTTGCTTGAAGCGGCGAGCTTTCTTCTCCTAAACCACGTCAAGAGTGCTTGTGCTTTAATCATCTCGAACAATTTATCTATATCTAACTGCTTTTCAACTAGACGCTTAGCAGACAAATACTCTCTTGACGAACTCAAGAAGAAATCCGATACTTTTATGAAAGAAAATTTCCAACGAGCCAAACAAGAATCGGACTTTCTGATCTTGTCATGTGCTGAGCTTTATGAACTGATAAGCAGTGATGGACTCAGAGTAGAGAAGGAAGAGGAAGTATTTGAGTCATTATTAAAGTGGGTTAGGCATGACCCTGCGAACAGAGCTAAAGATCTGTCGAGTTTGTTACCATGTTTGAGGTTTGGTTCTTTATCACTTGCCTTCCTTGAAGAGCAAATCCAAAAAGAATCACTCTTACAAGAATGTAGTTTCTGCCAGAACTTTCTGAAGCAACAGAGAAGGCGACGTCGCTCTGCAAGGGCTAAAAGAGAAGTGGCAGCCAAAGAAAGGCCATCTGCTAAGATACACAATGTCGTTGTTGGAGTAGGAAGAGGAAATTTGCACACTTCATTCTGTTTCAATGTGGAGGAGGATGTAATGTACAGGCTTCCAGAGCCGCCGTCACCAACTTTTCAACTAGGGATCACAGTTATAGGACGAGACCTGTACTCTGTAAGTCGTGATAGACACGACTGGGATGAAAGTACCACAAGGCTTATGATGTATTCACTAGGACAAACACACAAAACAGTCCACTATTGGTATGAGAAGAATGGAGATATTCAGAGCCCAAGTGTTTGTCTAGGCAAAACGCATGTAGTGTCACTCAAGGGCAAGCTGTATACATTAGGAGGCTGTTCAGCTTTTGTTGAAAGGCGTGCTGTTGTCCAGTGTTATGATCCTGTAGAAAATGCCTGGAAAACTATGGCTCAACTACTAACCCCAAGATGCATGCTGGGTGTTGTGACAACAGAATTTCACCTCTATGCAATAGGAGGCAAGACGTCACATACTATTAATGCTCCTGAGAAGCTTGTTGAAAGATATGATCCAGAAGCAAACTATTGGACGCCTGTAGCTCCCATGAACACTAGCCGAGCTTCTCCCAAGGTTATTGCCACCAGTGAAAACATTTTCGTCATTGGAGGCTTGCATTTAGGTCCCGAAGTGACCTGCGAAGTTTACAAAGAGGTTTCAGACCAATGGTCCAATATTGCATCCCTACCAAGCTTCTCAACTCCGAAACTTACATTTACTCTGAATCAAGAAGTATACGTCCTCAACAGCAGTGAAACATGGAGATACGAAAAGAAGAAGAACTCCTGGAAAAAATCCCAATCATTCAAGTCATTACGTGAAGGTTTCGAGGACTTCAGTGTTGCTCAACTACAGCTTCCAAAGTTTTGCTTTGAGCACTATACGAGAATTGCACCTCAGAACCTCGCAAGTTTTGGGCGAAGTTTCTATGATTGTTCTAGTGATGACGAAGATGAGGAAGAGGAAGAGAGCGATTATCATCCATGGTTTTTTTGGGGTGAAGATTCAAGCGGTAGTGATTAGTAAAATGTTGAATAGATATATGGACAGATTAGTTTTGTAACTTTTCTATGTTTTTTGAATGAGTTTATTTTCACGCCAAGGTGCAATAAGTGGTAGAGCTTGGTAAATTTTGTGTACATTTGGATTTTGAGTGGTTTAATTTCGGATCACTCCAGAAGGTAATTTTACTTCAAAGTCAAACAGTTGGAGACTTATCCAATGACTTCAAATGTTTTAAAACAGATATATTTTAGTATTTAGACAAGAACAGTTTGGTTCATTTACCTAAGTGGTATGTTTATTTGATCTTGAACATACCAACTTAGTAAAAATAAGACAATTTATGGTTCATGCTAGTCATTGAACTCTGTGTATGCATTTAGTATGAAAAATACCCCAAAGGGCTTTTGCTTTCTTTAAAAAGTGTTTTGAATGATAATGATCCCAACAATGTAAAAATATGTTGTGAAATTTTTTAAATTAAATACTATGACAAAGTAGAATAGTTGAATGGTTTGGTGTAGGTCTGAGAGAATATCTTTATGTGGTGGTTCAAAGTGACCTGACTCCAAGATGGTCAAAAAACGTTGAGAAAGAATAATTTAGCTGCTTCAACAACCCCAGAAACAAACATTCACAGACTTTCTGCTCATATTGCATACTGTTTGAATGTCCACTCAGCTGTTACTGAAGAATACAAGGGACTAATGATGATCTAAATTTTGCTGGAGAGATATTTCAACCTTACAAATTTGTTTATTGTATACATCCTTGTAGGGTCTTGTTAATATGCCACATTTTTATCAGGGGATTCAAACAGCAACTGAAAAGAGCTGTACTGCAGATATGGATGACCGACAGGCTGGATCTTCACTGCAATGGTGGGTATCATCCATCTTTTATTTTGATATTGCAAATGATAAGAAAAAGGATGCAAAAAGATCAAATTCTTGATCTTTTTCTTATAACCATTTTTTTAATAACCATTGAACTTTGTTACTACTTAGACATTCCAAAGGCTTGTTGTGTAATCAGTTTTTCACTGCTGCCAGTCAATAACATAAAGGTACCGACTGATTATTTTTGATTGATGGTGGCGAAAAGCCAAATTGCGTGCAGCTTGCAACTACTGAGTTTGCAGAATATGGAAAACCGCAGTTAGTTCATACATTATGGTTATACATAAACTCTCAGAAGCACAGGTGGTGTGTGCTGCTGATTCACTACCTTTTATTTCCCCAGTTGTGTTGTGTTTAGTCAGACCTTCCATCATGAGTAAATAGTTGATTAATAATTGTTTTACAATAACTTACAAATTTCTCGCTCGCTGATTGGTTATTTTTTATCATCAATGAGAGGACAGACAGATAAAGCTGACATCAATGAGCGCGCGCTCTTTCCGTTAGTTGTTTTGATCAGTAAAAATGAGAAGTTTTTATCGTTTTTGTTATTGTTAAAAAACAATTAATAGACATTAGTTTTTTATGTCTGTACTCTTATTGACGATAAATTGCGTCATCGAATTGTCAAAGTAGTATGCGGATCCACTCGGCTACGCCTTGTGAATCTACACTACTTTCATTGACAATGTGATGACGCAATTTATCGTCAATAAGAGGACAGACACATAAAAATCTGATGTCTGTTTGTAACTCGTAAGCCTGAGTGTAGCTGAACATAACTTTGGCTAATCAGATTTAAAGTAAGGCTGCACGCAGGTTGTTGTTTTCTGTGCTGTGAGTGTTTCTCCACATATTCATTATCATCCCTCTGTAAAAATTGTCTATTGAATATCGATTTGATTTTGAATTCGCTCTGTCATGATTGTCCTGCTATATTAACGAAAGCAATTTTAATTTTAAAAACTTGCTTGATTAACCCTTTAAAATGAACACCTCTTCTCATTAAAACCAATAAAACGACTAACAGAGATAATCAAATCACACCTTTATTATCTTGATCTACTCCATCAACATGCTCACTTTAATATATTATACAAAACTGTTGCCCTCTTTATAACATGCATTTGGAAAAGTATGTACAAGATCTTGATATCTAGCAAGTGGAAATATAACCCTGGGTTTAAGATTTTAAAGGTTATGTGGGAATGATAATATTGTGAATAGGTTTTTACTCTGATGTCAAAGCCTGGAGTAATGTCCAAAACTGTTATTAATGAACGTCAATTTTTTTTACTTTATTGTATAGAACGGTCTGAACCCAGGAGAATGAATGTTAATTGAAGTATTATGATCATCTGGGTTGATGTTGTCCTGAGAAGTATAAATATGACCAATCTGACTTTATTCTTCACTTGACTCTGAAGATGACTTCCGCTCAGGTTGTCGAAACGTCAGTCACATCAAACAGCCCTTCTCAGGACTACATCCACCCGGATGATCATAATACTTCGATTAACTTTTTTTTACTTTGTGGTGATTAGTCTCCTCAATATATTATATCTATGAAGATACAGGTCTAATTAGTTTACTAGTGAGTTTACTTTTGCATTGGAGTGGTTCGATGAAATGTTGTTGACACTGAGTGATGTGGGTGGCTATTTGATGACAGAAGAAAGGAATTTTTGTGTGCATAAATGAATGAGTAAATGAATGAATAAATGAATGAAATGTCGAGATATTTATAGAGCAGATTTTACATAGTCACAGTAAAGTAACTATCTGTTGCAGGGCTTAAAATAATGGCCGATCATTCCCCAGTCATGATCACAGGCAAAATTAGTTTAAGCTTTAGTCATACGTCCTTATTTCTGGCTAAATGTTACAGGTCAAAATGATGACCCACAAGACAAATATTTGACCYAACAAGTCCCAGTTCTGGCCAGACATTGCACAATGTCTGGGCGTTATTTTAAGCCCTGCTGTTCAACTGGATTCTTGAACCAATCAGGGTACAAAATCTTTGCACAGCACTCATTTAAGTCACATTTCATCATGATGTAAAATTTTGATTGAAGGAATCATGGAAATCCTTGGTTTGATTGGTTCAAAGGATATTATATACCATGGCTGTGCAGTGTGCTGTGCTGTTTTGGAGTGATGAATTCATTCTATAGCCAATACATAGTGACATAATCTGTTCCATAATGCTCACTACTTCACTAAACTACTAAAGCAAGCAATAATATTGTGTCTGAATTTTGTCCAGAGGGCTAGTTTATGTTCTGATGGAATGAAACTTCAAACTTGGATTATTTAATTTTGATACAAAAATAATTTAAAAATCTGAAATATTATTTAAAAAAATTAATTTTCTCGATTAAAAAATCTGTAAACCAAAATCATTATATATAAGTACACAACCTAATTTTTCTACATCCTAATTCTAAGCTAATTTAGTTAATGTGCTATACACAAACTGCTACTATGAATTAATAGAGTCTAAAACTAGATGTTACTAGTCTAAAACACTGCCATCAACTCAATCTGTGATTATCCTCAGATTACAGCAGCTCTAAGGCAAGGTGCTTCTCAATGGACTCACTTTGGGATGACTTTACCAGGGGTGTAGAATTTGAGGAATTCTGTAGTCTCTGTTGGTCCACAGGGGCCGTGCCCCACCCCACCCCACCCCACCCCACCCCACCCCTTATAGGTGATGTATCTTCTTTAAACCTAAATGTGTTTGCATATGGTCTTAAAGGTTTTCTCTCGGGACGAATTTTTCTGGCCCGTCCTTTCTTCCAGCCCACCTTTCTGTGGTTCCTGGAAGTGCCCCTGCTATCAGGTCTTTACTTGAAAGCACCCTCTCTTAGAAATGCTGCTATCTGTTGGTTCCCTTGTTCTACAAGTTAAGAACATGGCACAAAATATTAATTTTGACCAGTTCAAAGTACAAATATTTTGAATCACTTGAATGAAAAGTCACCATTTTGTAGCTGTCTGTGTTGGATAATGTACATCATGCCACTTCAATCCATCAAGCAATGCTGTTCTTTTCTATTTTTCCCAGGGAGTGGACGTGTGTGTCTCCCATGGACAGACCAATACACTGTATCTGAGGAACACTGAGTGCATGCAGCTTTGTTCAGGTATACCAAATAGTCTTATACTAGAATCCTGCACCACCACCTTGTTTATCGATAGCAGGCAAAGAATAATGGTTATACTTCTTTGTGTCTGCTTTCTGTAGAAAAAAATGCACAAGGTATCAGTTGGCTTTACTCCCAGCTAGTACACTGCTTCATGTACTAATTATCATTAGTATCATTATAATAAGATACTGACAGCAATCTTGAAGTGCCTCTTAACCCATTATAAAAATAGGGTAAAAAAAGCTGGCAAAATGCTCAATGTTATTTATCAATGGACTGGCTAGTATCCCACCCAGGCCAAAAATGATGAGCCCTACCGGTTTCAACATTTACCATATTTCACCAAACCTATTTATGATATACATCATCCATAGAAAATGTGCATCCTAGTTGTGCATTTATGCTAACATCACCATCAGTGATGCACACATCTTTGCCTTAGTTTTATATGTATATTCTCATTTCAATGCTAATCATTTTTGATATTGTGCTCTACTCACCTTGCTCTTATCACCAAGGATGGGAGGAAAAGATGTTGGGAATGTGGTTGTCATAGAAGATGCCATAGGTATTTTTGGTAGAGTAGTTCTATTGTTGTACATGCTGGATTTGATCCCCATGCTTCCAAATGAATGGAAATTTGACTGGGGTGGTATAATTGCTGCAGGAAACTCTTTGGGAAGTATTGACTGTAGAATGAGAAAATTATAGATACCATAAGTGAAGAAGAAAAAGCAAAGTAGAGGATTTGACATACTTAATTTCTAGTTACAAATGCAACACAAGTATAAGGCATCAAGGCAACTGTTGACTCAAGCACTTAAGTCCAAGCACCTGGCAGAAAGACTGAGCTATCACTTCCTGTGTGATTGACATAATACTATACTATGTATGTACCTTAAGCTTGTGTCGTAAGCAAGTGTGTAATAGGGTTAAAAAAAGTGTGTAATAGAGATAGTGCTGTACTAATAATATTATAAATTCATGCAAATAATGATGGTACAGAGCAATGCCCATTATCATTAATAATATTATAAATTTATATCACTAGTGATTATTATAAATTTATGCAAATAATGATGGCATAGAGCAATGCCCATTATAATAAATTTTAACATTCACCTCCTGTTGAGTAGCATCTTTTAGTTTGTTTACATGCCTTCTCTGAAGAGGTAAATATCAAGAACAAATAATTATTAGCAAACAAATATTAGGAGTACGATAATGCTTATCTTAGTTGTACTGATGGTTTCACACCTAAGCAATGGTGTTTGTTCCCGTAATATTAACATTAAGACACTAGAATCAGCTTTTTTATCAGATGTATAATTTATTACTAAAGATTGATATTTCTTTACCTTCTTCTTCAGTGGCTTCTGATTTTTTGATATGACTGACATGTTATCTAAATGTGTAGTATCCTTGGCTGCTGCTCTTCTTTCAAGCTCTCTATAAAAAAGAGAGAGAAAACATAGTTTACTCAAATCGCCTACCATTTATAGAGAACTCTATATATGAATCTTGGATTCCCAGATTTATTAGTTATATAACTCAGACCAAAATTAAATTTAATGCTTCAGTTAGAAGTGGTAGCGATGGTGTGCAGTGGGTGGGCTCTGGGGAGGGACCCGTAGGGGTGCTATTTTTCATACTCCACACAACTGGAGGATGAGGAAATGATCAAGGAATGAAAGAACCATTGAAGGTGGTCGTCGATCAGCCAAAGGGGTGTATCATGCACAAGGGTGGGGTAGCGACCCCTTACACTCTAAATAACGATAAGTAAATAATGTTTGTACCTGATGTCTTTGAAGTAAGGATGTCTTGCTGCTTGTTTTGCAGATATCCTAAAAAAAGTTTTTAAAAAAAGTTGAGTGGAATTGGTTGTTGTGATAATAATAATTTCACTGATGATAACATTATTTTTGTTGTTTGTTACCTCTCATCAGGGTCATAGGTACACAGCAGTTCTATTAACTCTATACACTCAGGAGATGCATGAGGAAGAAGCTTGCTGATGCCTGTACCTTTCTTCTGAGGGAAGTTAAAGTTCATGCTTCTTGATTTACTGTTCAAGGGAGAAAATATGCACGACATTTGAGTAGGTGCATGGAGAAAAAAACTAGACCAGGGGCAGGCAAATGATAGCATGAGATTTGAAAGGGATTTTAGAATCATAACTTCTCATCTCACAAAAGGAGCACTACTTATCAATGATGCCAGAATTTAGAAGTTGATTTTCATGGACTAGCTGGGAGGAAAATCCTTCAAGGGGAAGGCAACAAGATTTCTTCAAGTATGCCAAACTTTATGGGAACACCAGGTTAACTGGAAGATGTATTTCAATGCTCAAAGTTTACATACTTTCTAAGTTTTTGCAGAATACTTGAAGGCGGTGTCCCTAAGACATCATGAATTTTTGCTATTTGGTCTACTTCATTTGATCCAGGAAAAAGTGGATGTAAACTTTAAAGGCAAAAGAAGGTACATACATTAGCAACTCTGGAAATTTGAGTATAAATAAAAGTTATAAATTATGTAATTACTATGCTTACCTCATTACTTCAAAGAAGACACACCCTACCCCCCAAAGGTCCATTTTATGATTATAATATCCATCAGTCAACAAACACTCTGGTGCTCTGTACCTGTGTTAAGAATTGATCAAATAATATGAATAATTTATTCTTGTTACGATTTTTTGTAACTATAGCAACTACCCTCCCACCTCGAACACACTTGAGGAGGACTGAATGGAACTGACATTAAGAGTCTACAGAGTGTAATATGATTCTTTAGCTTTTTCTCATAGAAATTCCAAGGGATAAAGTAGGATAAAATTATAAGAAAAAACCACAGGAATCCCCATTTAAGTTTCTTACCATCTTGTTGAAATGTATTCTGTATAAGGTTGTTTTGAATATACGCTACGACATGAGCCAAAATCAGCTAGTTTGAGTACATCATCCTGAAATTGCAAAAAAAGATTTAAAGCTTATAGAATTGAAGAAAAAGGAAAAATGAATTGGGAAAAAAACAGGAAAAAATTAATCAAATTAATATATATTATTATATTATAAAACAAAAATTATTACATACCTTTATTAAAATATTTTCAGGTTTAATATCTCGATGAAATATTCCATTCCTGTTATACATAATATTACAAAAAAATTATTAACCTATTCCTTTGGTATGTAATCCTGCTTATCTATTCAACTTTTAAAACAATTGTGTAAAACTTAACAGTTTAACCAATGAAAATTTCTTGCATTTGGAAGTGTTAATTGAATGGAAAGCAAATTTTATTCACTCTGATTGTAACTTGCAATACTATAAATTTTTAGGCATTAATTAACAAACACCAATTTTATTGGAATCTGGAAACAATGTTTTGGGCTGATCTTTACTCAGGTCAGAGCACAGAAGGAAGTTGATTAAATTTAGTATAATATAATTTTATGATAAATCCTACCTGTGCATATGATCTATAGATTTGCATAATTGATACATGTAATTCTTGACCTTCGACTCGGAAAGATAGTGTCTTCTCCCTATAACAAGAATAATATTAGTTATGCCACATTTAGTCACAACTAAATGCATAATAATTATAAGTTACACTTTCAGTATGTTTTTGGGGTCATTAGTAAAAAACTGAACAGAAAAACCATTAAAATCCCCATTGGATCAATATCTCTAACTATAATAGTTATATATAAGAGGCACTAAGTGTTGTAAAAGTGATGTTGTAACCCAGTAGTTACTGTAATAAATTGTAAATGATTTTTTTAAGCCAGTAACTACTGGTGTTGTAAAAGCTTTGTTGTAACCAGTAGTTACTGTGATTGTAAATGAATTTTTCTAAGCCAGTAACTACTGGTGTTGTAAATTTAAAGCTTTCATACTGACTAACCCAGTATGTATCGTAGTTACTGCGATTGTAAATAATTCTTTGAAAGAATAACTTTACCTCTTATTAATTCATATAGATTCATGTCCATCAGTTCACAAATGAGTGCGAGCGTGCCATTCTTTTTATCACTGCATAAAGAAAAAAAAGATATTAGTTTCCAAAATTCTAAATTAACACCATGAGAATCAAAACATTTTTGAACATTTTGTTTTATTTTAAGTATTTTAATTTTTGATTTCCTGGTAAAAATAAAAGATAAATTTGTGTCTCATTTAATTCAGATAAAAATTATTGAAATAAAGATCATAGAATCAGAAAATAAAAAATATAGAAGTAATGTTTCAAATTCCATCATTTTAACTTTAATGATACTTTAATAATAATGATACTTTAATAAAAACCACTTTGATTTTGTAATGTTGATTGGTACCAGCAACCGACCTGAAACCCTTCAATTAATATGTCACTATTGTTCAGCGTGCAATAGACTATGTTGGTGTTATGTGGTGTTATGAATATGTTAGTGTTGTGGTGGTGTTGCTATTGTAGTTAAACTTTATTTATGTCACAATTCAAACAAGTTATTATGGCTCAAACAAGGATCCCAGATAACTCTTATGTGATGATAGTTCTGGGTATGTCGTTAAACAAAATCAAATCACAGAGACCTTTCGATGTATGTGACAAGGTATTCCCATGTACCCTGTCACCTATTTCGAATACATAAGGTTGTATTAATGTCAAGCCAAACAAAATCATAAACAGCAAAATTACTAAAATTATCAAATGTAAACGTTTAATTATACACCTAAGAATCCATTACAGTGTGGAAAAGCTAAAATACAGCAATTTCAGCAAAAACAGATAAAGAAATATTTATAATTATGGAGTGGATTAGTTGGTATTTTTAATTAGCACAGCAAATATTTTTCGGTTGCCAACAAAACAAGAAAGCAGCTTGTTGAAAGCTTATTGATGTCTTGGTATTTTGATACTTTCCTTAGTCATGGATATAAGAAACTGAATTCTTTGAGAATTAAGATATATTCTTGCTTTAATTTTACCAAACAAAAGGATCAAAACATTAAACCAAAGCGTTTGCAAAATACAATCCTTTAGCGGATCCAAGTTTTCTGAATTCAATGCAGCTAAGCTAGCTAGGCGTCCTATATAACAGGCATATCGCACTCAAATTCTCGTTACAAAAACCACAGCTGATTTCGTCAAAAAGATAATTCAATAAATCTTCCAAAGTGAATTATATAAGAATATATAAGAGGTGTATATACTGAACTGACAACATACTATAAATTAATACTCACAAGATGATCTCTTTCAACTCCACCACGTTCAAGTTTGGACTCAACCTTCTCATGGCTTGAATCTCTCTTAGGTTGTTCACTTGTTCAATACTAGGAAGATCATATTGAAGAAAAATAAACCAAGCTTAATTTTAAGTCGTAATGAATAAGTATTTTATTAACCAGAGGGTAAGACTATTAATTTATTTGTGTTGTTGGCTATCAACCATGTTAGTTTTATTTGGCAATATCCTGGTTGATATGAATACATACTATGAGCGTTTTTCACTTTTTGTTCGCACAATAAATTCTATTTGAAGCTACGAATAAGATATGAGAATCCTTTATAGTATGAAATAAAGATTTAAATCTAATTACCTATCATATCGTTGCTTGATTTTCTTACACGCGAAGTAAGTTCCATTCCTAATGTCTTGCACTTTTAAAACTTCAGAGAACGTACCCTCGCCTTTCTTGCCCAGAATCCTGTACTCTGATCACGCAAAAATAATCATAATTAGGAACCATATTAAACAGAAACCAATTAGTCTAGGAAGAAGGGTTCAAAAAAAAAAGTACTAGATGACTAAATTGTAATTCCAAGTTGACTTACTTTGCATGGCGGCAGTTTTACTTCGGAAGTAAGTTGTCTTCTTGGGAGTTTTTCAAGGAGCTTTTCCTTCCTCCAAGACAGCGTTTGCTCCTGCGATGGTTCATACCGATAAGTAAAAAGCCATGGCTAGTTTAATTATCGAGTTTTATTGCCATCGAACCTAATTTTTATTCGATTTTGTTCGATCGGTGTTTGATCGATCCTCCGTCGCGAGCGGAATGACTACTGCGTGAAAACAGCCGTTGCTATGGCTACCGTCAATACGATCGCCATGTCATGCACAACACCAGGACACCAAACAAAAGGGAAGCTTTCTTTTATTCAGATATAAAGATAAATAAATAAATAAATAGATCACTTTTATTTAAGTGTCTAGTCGTTCTAGCGCTTTCGCACTAATTGGGGACACTTTTCGCTCACATGCACTACCACTACATTCAATATACACACAACGCTCAGCTCACATGTTTATTTTTACCCCCCCCCCCCCCCCCGAGGAATGGAAGGATCATTTGGAGCTCTGTTTACGTTTGCTTTATATAATTTCCCACCTTTTGATTACTTTTAAACACACTAGACATAATATGGAGCTAATCTTGGTTGCTAAAATTTGAAAGTAATGGACTCCTGAAATTGATAAATATTTAGAAGTTATAATCTTTGATAAATCAAAAGGTGAAAAAAAAAGAAAATTTAAAAAAAAAATTTTTCTTAACATTTTGAAATAGAATCACTAGGCATAAAGAATAAAATAAAAATCATAAGATAAAAGCTGCAAATTCGGCGTAAAAATACGTCTAAGTTCCGTACGATCCAGCCAACCGAAGTTCAGTCCAGTCCACTACGTGCGGTTCCTGATTTTCCAAAATTAGAAAAACACTTAAAATTCGGGCTTTTAGAAGAGGAAAACAAGTTTTAGAAGTTGGGAATGTTTTTGCTATACATTAAGATTATCCATGGCCTTTCAAAAGGTGAAAATTCAAAATAAAATTCTTTTGTGATTCAAGATCCAGTCACCGACTGAGGCCCAGTCACTTGCAATCCATTTCAGTCACGACCAATCCATTCTAGCCACATCCAAGTAATTAACATTCAATTTATCTCAATAGCCTCTTAATGGAGAAAAATAAAGCCTCTACATCGACCAGTTTGCGAGAACCTTTTCTAGTTTCTTTACCTTAATTTTGGACTTCCCCTTCACCTACTGTATAGCGCTCCTTACCCAAACCCATCCAGGTCCCCCATCATCTCCTCACCCCCTCCCTTCCAAACTCCCAATCGTCTTATCACAAATCGTCTGAAAAAATTGCCTTATTTTTTATTTATTTCGTCCCCTTTTTATTAGTTGCCGAGTTTCGTGTGTGAGAAGGCTTTGGTACTATATGGCCGTTAAATGGTTTCCTTTAGGAACCAATCGGGAAACGAGAAAACCCCTGGTATGTAACAGCCAATAACAATGCTGAATGCGAAAACCATTCCAGTGTTGTGATAATATTTTCTAATTATTGATTATTATTATTAGCTGATAAAAACGGCACACAATTGAAAATTAATTCTAATTAAATTTAAATTGTTAAAGCAATTTGCTAACGAGCGCGAGCTATATGAAATCTTTATGACGTAATAGACAACTTGAACCTTCAATCTCGAAATTTGAAAATTAAAGAAAGTGGAAGAAAACTAGTTCGGTTATTTAACATGGATAAAAGTAGGACTGAAATGAAAGAAGTGTCGATCGTAGATGATGATGTACTTGAAGTGCTGGAACTCGTAGATGACAACGATACCATAGAGGAATGTATGATGATGGTCAACAAAATGAGTGAAACAAGTCTACTCGAGATCCAGAAGGAGAAAGAAAGTTTGAAAAGGCTTTTAAAAGAAGCAGATAAAGAGGTTAGTAAGCTGAAGCATTCGCTCAGAACGTCTAACTGTTGCATTGAAGAATTGAAAACGGATTTAACAAAGGAGAAAGCCAAGGCGGATGGACTAGAAGAACAGGTAAAAAACTGTAATGCGAGAATCCAAGAGATGGAAGATTACACTGTGCAAAGCCGTGAGGAATACCTTGAAATGGAAAAGAAGTATTTTGAAAATTCAAAACTTGTGGAAGACACTAATCGTTTACTCAATGATGTCCTGAGCAAAAAAAGACATTTCGAGGAGCAGATGGACTCTCTCAGAAAACAGCGGGACTCGGCACAAAATGGAGTTGTGTCTTTAGAAAAAAGGTTACGCGAAGAACAAGATAGATCAAGAGCAAAAGCTGTCTATTGCGAGGAGAAACTATCGAAAACAGAGAACGAGTTGAAACACACTAAAAACAAACTCTTGACCGCTGAGAATGATTTTAAATTGCACATTCTTCAACTTCAAGGAAGCCTTAAATTGAAGAAAGGTTCGAGTAGTTTGATAGCGGTAGATGCAGGAAAATGCGTAGCAGTCATTAGTGAGAAGCTAGACGCGCTTGAAAAGAAAACACTTAGCGCGGAAAAGGAAAAGTTCTCTCTCGGTGCAAAATTAAAAGAACTTGAGGCAGTCATGAAAGATTTGAAAGAAAAAGCAGAAAAAGAACAACAAGATAGCGAGCGAAGAATAAAAGAAAGTGAAAACGCTCTGGAAGAAGTGAAGAAAAATTTTAACACCGAATCTTTGAAAAACGCTCTTTTATTGAAGGAGAAAAACGAGCTCAAAGAGCAAGTGAAGGAGGCTGAAAAAGAAAAACTTGAGCTTCAAAACCAAATGAAGGAGCTTAAAGATAACTACAATACTGCTAAAGATAGCTTGGCTAATGCTGAAGAAACTATAGAGCACCTTCAAGAGCAAGTCGCCCAGAAAGAAAAAAACAGCTGCCCCAATGAGAACAGCGAAACATCACAGGAAAACAGAATGAATCAAGAAAATGATTTTGAATCCCAGGAAGGAGTTGAACCACCGCAAAACTTCGAAGCTAAATATAACGAGCTAAAAATGCAGTATGATAATTTAAGCAAGCAGTTTACACAGATCAGAAAACATCGAAATGAGGTTCTGAGGCAAAACAATGAGCTACGACACCAAGCACAAATGGCAGTCGTTCAACTTGCTTCCACGAACAGGCGCTTCACCAAACACATGGAACAGCTAAAGATGCAGTTGAATGTCGCTGAGAGGGTTTACCAGGAAAAGTTGTTCGAGTGTAATTTACTGGAAATTCAAGTGCAGCATTTGATGCAGCAGGCGAATGGTAACTACCCTCCCGGCACTCAGCCGCCAATGAACTGAACGAACGAATCTTGGCACCTATATTATCATGTTAACTGATCATAAATGTGAGAAATCGGTTTGTCCATTGTCTTTTCAATAAAACTAATTCTCTTGTGATAAATCAGCCGGATCATTATTATTATTTTGGTTTTGTTATACGGCGAAAGCGGGATGCGTTCCAACTATATATATATAGGGCGCGACCGTTCAGACTGGTGCGCTTTCATGATCAACCCTGAAGCCTGGTTATCTCTAGCAACACAAGCCCACGCTATAGCTGAAATCTTCTGCTCTCTTTTCCTACTAAGTTAGAACATAAAGTTGCGTCTTGTTATAGGACTGCTTGCGTCACTAGTGAGAATCAGTGGGCTTCCTGTGTTATCAGAGCGAGTTGACTTGTGGGTAATATTGCGCTAGACTGGCACTAGTCATCTTGACAAGAAAGAAGAAAAGTTCAAAATGTCTCGTGGAACAAGTGCTGGATTTGACCGGCATATTACCATATTTTCTCCCGAAGGACGACTCTACCAAGTCGGTTAGTACACGCACAACGATTCTTCACTTATCCTTCTCGCTGTTTGAGTATTTATTTTGTGTATTTTCTCTCGTAGAGTATGCTTTTAAAGCCATAAATCAAGGCGGTCTGACCTCTGTAGGTGTTCGTGGTGCAGATTCTGCTGTAGTCATTACTCAAAAGAAAGTGCCGGTAAGCAATGGGATTTCAAAGGCGATTACTTCTTATTTCATATTAGGAAAGCAAACTAACGTTTAGGAATCTTTGGATTTAAAATAGGTGTATTTGATACCAGAAACTTCAGATGTATTTATTAACCAACTTATGCAAGGGAACATGAATCAGCATTTCTTTTATTCCCTGGTAGCAGAGTCTCCCTCGTTTCCATTTTCTCTGCCAAGAATCGCAAACGAGGGAGACTCTATTATTAGAAATTATAAAAATATTTTAGAAAAACTTTGTTTTTTAGTTTTCTTCTATATGCTGTTATGATCGTGGTTATGAGTGAATTCATATCAAATGTTTTCTTTAATGTTTTTAGTCTATTAAAAAACTTTGTGTACTAGTACAATTTACTATGTTAAGACCATGTACATACTGTAATTTCAGGACAAGCTTCTAGATGCCAGCTCTGTCACACAACTGTTTGAATTATCTGAGAGAATTGGTTGTGTCATGACTGGAATGATTGGTGAGTTACTAGTACCACTACCTGTTTCTAAGACCAAAGTTATTAATAAGCATCGCCCCAGAATTAACACCACACATGAAACCCAAAAAAATTAATGAGGGCAACAGCAAGTAAACAAGTAAATACAGTGTTTTGTGTTTTTTAAATCTTTGTATTCTCTTTGTATTAAATCAATGGTTACGTTATACATATGGTAAGCAAATCTTTTTAAATAAACATCGCCCTTGAATAAATGCCGACTCCAAATTAACGGCTCCTTTATTGAACCCAACATTTTAATACCCTCCCCCCCTCCCCCAGCTTTTAGACAAGTAGATACTGTATTTATTATCAGTCAACACAGGTGATGTAGTGGTGGGTTTGATTCCTGGGCTTGGTGTTATGTTAGTAGAATGGCTTCTTGGTTCTCTCTTGTCCTTCAAGGGTTTTTCTTTTGGTTCTCTTGTTTACCTTCTTCTGCAAAAATAAACTTCAAAATCCAAATTAAATTTCAGTGGATGAAAAATAGCTCTGTGGAAAGCCCCTGCTAAACCCCACATAATTTATTTTATGTTCATTATTTTTTGTATCACACAGCTGATTCCAGGTCGCAGGTACAGAGAGCAAGATATGAAGCAGCTAACTGGAAATATAAATATGGTTATGAAATCCCTGTGGACATGCTTTGTAAAAGAATAGCAGATATCAATCAAATTTACACACAGAATGCCGAGATGCGCCCACTAGGATGTGGTAAGAAAACTTCAACTTGTTCAATGTCAAGAGGCAGTGTCCCCAGGGACAGTTTCTCTGATGAGATTCACAAAACAGGGTATACCTTACTGTATGCCGTATTCCCATTTATTCACTTGTTCATTATTCATTCATTCATTTTTCTAGGAATGATTTTGATTGGTATTGATGAGGAGACCGGTCCACAGCTGTTCAAAACAGACCCAGCAGGTTACTACTGTGGCTTCAAGGCATGTAGCATTGGAGCCAAGCAGACAGAGGCTAACAGCTTCCTAGAAAAGAAGATCAAAAAGAAGCAAGCTAGGACTTTCAGTGAGACTATTGAGGTACATTATTGGACTTGGGACTCCTTGTTCCATCTACTTGGAACTAAGGGAGAGGTCATTCACTATGACAGTGGGAAATGAGGGGCAGAAATGAGAAAACTGAACTTGTTTGGGGGAATCTGGATCGTTTTACATGGGATCAATAAAAATATGTCAATCAACTTTGTTTATAAAAGAGGATGGCATTTGACAGGAATTCAACTGATAAGCTTGTGTTCCTGGTTTAATGTCTTTACTTGATTAGGTATGGAACCACCATTAAAATGATTATCGGAGCCACTTGAAGGTTTAACCATTAGCAGATGTATTTGGAAAGGCAGCAACTTCTTAGTTATCTTCCATCTAACCTGTCCACTGGCAGATGATACAGAATCTGGTCATAATGTCAATAATACCAGAATGTTATTCCATTTTTATTGATGACAATATGCTGAAATTATGTTTCCTTCAATATGTTCATGATATTTTTTCATGTTTTATTTCAGACTGCCATAACCTGCCTGTCCTCTGTGCTTTCTGCTGATTTCAAACCTTCAGAAATTGAAGTTGGTGTAGTCACAACAGATAATCCTAGGTTCAGGTAACTACATGGTTTATGTTACAATATTATTGTTTTCATTATTATATGGCCAACACAACCCCTACGTCTGAGCTTATAACTTCTGTGAATCAAAAGACGCAATTCATACCACTGAAAGTTTTGATTGACAGAAGCGGCAGACATCCAGGGTGTAAGTCATTGTGTTAATGGGAATTTGAAAAACTGGGATATTCCTAACTCCTACTGAAGTATTATCAGTGAAGTCTTAATTCATTTTTTACAGGAAATTGACAGAAGCTGAAATTGACACCCATCTTGTAGCGATAGCTGAAAGAGATTAACTTTTGACTCCATTTGCTAGAAAAGAAACATCTTTTAGCTATTTTGCATCCTACATTATTAGCAAAATAAATGTAAATGTATGTGAAATATGTTGATTAAAAGGTGCTTGAACCACAAGAGGGGATTTGCCTTTATTTTTATCAATTGATTTTAGATTTTATCTTTGCCCTAATGTTTCCCACCATTTCAGACCATGTGCCATTCTTTTGAGAATAAAATTATTTTTGTGAGTAGTATCCATATTCATGTGTCTTCGCAAACATAACTGTCAAACAAAGAAATAATACTCTAGGGAATGACACAATATGAAATGGGAAAACTCCTCTTGTGCCTCTGATGTCACATACTTTGGAACACAGGGTAAAATGATGTCCCTTCAATCTGAACACGACAACAGTGGCTGACCGATTCGTAAATTATATATACAGCTTGGTTTATTGATCAATGAACATAACAGAAAGTATAAATCATTAACATTAAATATTTCAACCTTCTAATATAAACAACAAGTGATAATAATAATTGTGGCCGATAACAAAAGCCTTAGCAATGATAGTAATATACTTCTTTTGAACAAGGGGTTGTAAAAAAAGGTGGAAAGTTCCAAACTGCCTCAGCTTTATGATCAAAATGGAAATATTTGAATATCCTCCTCTCCCCCCACCCCAAACCCCACCCCACAACATGAAGGCATAACCCCTCCCCTCAGGTTAATGACGACCTGACATTAATGCATTAATAAATACATCATAATTCACTATGATTGTTCTGGCTTCCATCACTTTCTTTCACTGCACAAACAGCTTCCATGTTACAGTTCTTGGCAATGCCTTCAAAACAGTCGAAGAACTTCCTTAAAGAACACTTCCCAGGTGCACAACACGGTATGGAAACAGGCCGTTCATTAACAAGAACATCCACCTGGAAAGATTCCTCATCCAACTCAGATTCCTCTTTAGAGCAGTCGTAAACAACAAAGGCTATATTAGCTCCAAAGGGGCTAATTTCACTTAATCGGTACAAGCGTTTAGACTTTTCATTAAAATTGTCAGCCCTCATGTGGTCAGCCTCTTTGAACAACTCTAGAACACAGTAGAGCGGTTGTAGTGTTTCACCATGGGCAAATCTAAAAACCCCTTTTTTCCTTGTGGTGCTAGTAACATTTAAAGAATTCTTAATGTCTCCTAAGATAACTGCTAAAAGATTACAGGCCATCTTGTGGTTGATGTCATGACCATAACCTCTCTTCCAGTAATGTTTCAAATCAGCATAATATTCCAAGACTTCAAAGTCTTCCTCTGTAAACACAGAACACCATGTATTATCCCTCTCAAATACTGCATTCTCAAATACACAGGCTACGTACATCCCAACGATATGTCTGGCTGTCAGTACAGAACTGTTTCCAAACTTCAATCTCACCCTCTCGACAACTTGCATCATTGGAAGAGTGTCTCGGAAGTTATGATGTTCAAACAACGAGCTCTTGTTCTTTGACACCGTTTGCTTGTATTTAGGGCACATATCAAAGAACCTTAGTATGGGGTCATTTTCTTTATCTCTAGAGTCTATGTCAACAGGACGTATTTTACAGCTGCCCAAAGTGCCTTCACCTTCCATTAACCCAAGCGCAAAGGCCATCGCGCTCTGCAAAGTACGGGGCGTCTTCGTACTGACAAAACTTATATCCTCAATGGAGAGAGGTGACTTGAAGAGATCCTTATAACGGTTTCTTACGCGTTTGGATAAATTATACAGCTCTTCTTCACCTCTTGTAATCAGACGTTTGTCATTGTCGTCTTTGAAAGGGGTCACCCAGGGAAATTCGACGCTATTAAACTTGAATTCGGAGCCAGATTTGTACAGTTCGTTCACGACTTTCACCATAGTATTCATTCTTCTAACGTCTTTTTTACTCGGATGCCGTGTTCCGTGTCTTGCAAGAAGGTTAACGTGGATTGCTTTGCAGTGGGACGGTAAGTCTGACTTCAACTCCTCACTTTCCTCATAAAAATATGGAGTTTTACTCCCGAAATTGTAAATTTTTTGTCCTGCGTTAGTAAAATGTGCCAATAGCAAAAAACATAGGACATAAAATATCATATTTCTGCTCAAACGAGATACATTTCTGAACAAAGAAAGCGCACTGTTTTCTCGCAACGAGTGACTTTTGTTCGCCATTTTGAAGTACGAAGAGTAGAACTGGTACTAGTAAATGAAAAACTTTATGGGGAGGAGAGGAGGGGGGATGACGAAAAGTCAAGTTCAAAACTCGTAATTATGAATTGTTAATATCTAAAAACATTTAAGGTTAAAAAGAAACTGAGATTTTATGGCAATTTGATGGGTTTTAAAGATGTTTTAATTGGCAAAAGCTAGTAGATTTGACTCTTAACCAAACGACTCTCACCACCCCCTTGGAAAGGAAAACGTACAAAAAAAGTGTTGCGATCACCAAATAAACATGGCGGACGAGTTTACATCAGATGTTTGGGTTGGAAGCGAAATTGGCTATTTAAAAGGTAGAATAGTCCTTTATGACCTTCAAATACGACTAATAATTTCCTAATTCTATATATCATTCTAGTTATATCTGTAAAACACTATGAGAACACATTTTTTTTAAGTTTTCACTTCACGTTAGAAACTCCTAGTTAACACGTGGGTAAATAAGCTTAGAGTAAAGTATTTTATTCTATTCTAAGTTACGTTTTAAAAACATTTTACAGCGGTTGATTTGCAAAAGAAGTCGTTCAATAATGTGGCTGGTCCAACTTCTGAGTCAGACGTTAAAAAACCAGAGGAAATATGCAGGATGTGCTGGAAGAACTCTGAACAAAATCAGGTAAGTAAGCTTATAGAGGCTTTGCACCATCACGTGATGGCAGCCATGACAGGAGGCAGGAACAATTGAATCTGCTCTAATCTGATTTACATGAGAAAGATTTCATTTTCCCAGGGGAGACTGACTCTATTGTTGGGCCTCCTGTCACGGCTGCTATCATGTGATGGTGCAAAGCCTCTATTTTGGGAATAAGACTGGAGTAAGTTTATATGACTTAAGCTCATAATTAATGATTATAGCATGATATTTTAAGTATACTTACGGCCCAGTAACATCACCAATAACACCATGACAACATTACCTGTTGTAACATCATCACATCACCCATGGCAACATCATCACCAATGGCAACATCATAACCAATGACATCATCATCACCAATGACATCATCACCAATGACATCATCACCAATGACATCATCACCAATGACATCATCACCAATGACATCATCACCAATGACATCA